TATTATTATATATTATTATTATTATTATTATATATATATATATATATATATATTACTTCTATATGTATATATATATATATATATATATATCGTAAGATCGACGTTTAAAAACTAAAATTCGTATAAAAAGCGTCGTTATTCGTACTAACAATGTAACTGTACTATTTAAATAATAATTAAATTTTAAAAAATTATTTATTTTTGTTGTGTGTCGGTTTGTCATCTGAATGTATGAGATGTCTAAATGTATCGGTTACTGTATGACGGTGCGAGGCGCGGTGCTCCAAGCGGCACGGCGGTGCCCCTCAAAAAACAATCGGTAAGATCGACAAAATGCCCCACAATCTGCGCTCTCTGCTTTATATTAAATAAACTTATACCCGAAGTAGTTGTAGTTGTAGTTGCTTGTCGTTATATCTATATCGAAAACCTTCAATTGTTCTCTCTTTTTTTTTACTAGCAGAGATTAAATGAAAAAAAGAAAAAAAAATACGGACTAAAATATTTACTATACTATATCATCAAGCGTATAGATAGACGATCACTAATAATTCGCTAATAGTTAATAAATTATAAATTATTTTAGAAACAAAAAGTTTTACATTTTGTTAAAAAAAAAAGAAAAAAAAGAATGAACCTAGCAAACTATTTCTCGGTACTTAACATCGTACTTATATCGAGACGAGCCCAACAGAGTTCATCGCGCAACCTCGTTCAGCGATCTTACCGAATGTTCGCTCTTAAATTATGACGCTCATGTCGACGCTTCGTTTCAGTCGCACCCTGAACGATATTAATTATTTTTTTACTTCGTAGTCGCTCTCTTGCATTTATACTCTAGCTAATACTTTTACACACTACGAATGTTTTTTTTTCCTTTTTCATTAAACCGCAATCATTTAGCACGGTCACACTACGGCTGAACTCCCTCTCTCTCGCTCTCTCCAAGTTTCTCTCTCGCTATTATCAACTATTCACTAGCAATAATGTACATCAATTACATACAAAACAAGATACAGCGTTAATGTGCTCTCGTTACATTGTTGACACCGTCTCGCTTAAGATGGTCACACTCACAAAGGTACCACGTTTATATTAATCGAAGAAACTCGCCGTCGTCTGATTTATCGTTCATAGCGCGGTGTACCGTTCCTTAGCGTTTATTCAATCGTCAACGATACTTTAAAAGTCTTCCGACCGAGCGTCTATTGTCGTCTTTGAAAATCCTCGGAAAAGTCCGCGCTGACGGGAGAGAATCGACGCGAGTCTTTGTGCCGTTGAACTCGACACGATTAAAATTGCGATATAATTCTTATATTATAATAATAATACTACACACGGCATTTATTACAAAAACTTAGCTTTTCAATGAAAACAGAAACGCAGTTATTATTCGTTATTCCCCAAAAAATATTCGTTCTCTTAAAGGCGCTCGCTATGCAATGTACATACTTCCTACTACATTGCATTTGAATAAACTTCATGCTGATCGTGTTTTTGGACGCGCTAATTAGCTTAATAGATGATAACTTTTGGTGATGTCATCCCTGAATATTTAATTTTGTTACGTGTATGTGTTGTGTTGATTCGGAATTTATACGATACTTGAACGAAAAATAGAAAGCTAGAGATGGACGCTGTTATTTTCGCGGAAGATGAACAATATTCCTTGCGTGCAAAATCAGTTTACTAATCTCTCTCATTCTAAATAATAAATATTTTTTGAATTGTTGAACTTAACGAATCTCTCTAACGGCAGTGGAAGATTTTGGATTTTTGCACACGCAACGTATACTATTCGGAGTGATGTTTCCTTTATGTTGCATAAAAATGAAATAGACGGAGTATTCTAGAAAGATTTCACATTTTCTCTACGATCAATGTTTTCGACATATCGTTCATACATAGGATTCATGCAAGAACTCGACACGTGATCAATGATTGATTAGTGAGAAATAATCGTTAACTACGTTACAATAATCGCCTAAATTTCTTCACGTTTAAAAAAGTATAATTGCAATTATGATAAATAGACCCTTATACTTATTAATTTTCCAGACTTTAAATATCCACGAATCAATACAACAGTCACAGTAAAGACAAGTAACTTTGTCTTAAAATACTGATGTGTGAAAATACGAATATTTTCTTTTTTTTCTCCGTTATGAACAGTTTTTTCCGCTCTGCGTATTTCGTGCATCTTTTATTATGTAACTCACGAATTAACAAAATCCGAAACTAAATGCAAAGAATATAAGAAATCAAAGTAGCTCTGCGAAACGGTGTTAAGATCTTTTCTTCAGTTTATAGAACGACGAACAGGATAGAGTCGAAGTAACATTTACTTACAGATTATAAAGAGAACTTATATATATAATTAGATATAAACGTTTCTTGATCATTTTTTCACAGTTTGATTAAAAATTGTTGTTCAAATTGAAAAGAATGTTCGAGAAAAACGTTTGTATTTGACGAAATCAATGAAGTTCTTTTTATAATGTATGAGTAAAAGATTACGACAATTCAGATGTCGTGCTACAAATACAAACATTAACTTCATCGTTCTGTCTATATTCTACTTTTACGGCGAATAATACCCTTATCGTGCTCATCCGTGGGCAAATGTACGTTGAATGTATGTATGTAGTGACATGTGTACAATATATGTATATATAGATTCTGTATACATATATACTATGTTCATATTCATATTTATATATTTATATATACATATATAACTTCTCTCTTTTTCACATTTATTACTTTGCAAAATATTTCTTTCGTCGACGATGCGTCGGCATTAAGCCCGTATAATACAATCGCAAATTACATTTTTGTCGCTTAGGCAAACTGTTCACTTGTTTATCGGTAAGTACAATGACCATTCGCATTGCTCGGTCCTAGTCAATAGAGATCGAAACAATGCTCACATGCTCTTATCTGATTAATCAGATGTCGAGAAGCGTCTTGTTACTACAGACCAAGATCTCGACTTAAGTGCAAAGTTTCACACTTTATTCGTTAAACCGAAGCCGAATATCCGATCGGCCAAGAACGTCTCGATATTAATACTTTACAATGAGTAAATTCGACGAAAACTGCGTCATAAGATGCTAATAGGGAAATAAAGTACGAGACATTCGTGTCACAGTATACTCGAGTATCTAGAGCATCTCTTATGAAACGCGAGAAAAACGCATACTCGCATACGTGATGAACAGCGAGAATGGATGATAGGCGAGAATGTACCCGCGTTCGCAACGATTACTATTACAATGGAAAATCCGATCAGCCGCTAGAACGAGGCCGATTAATGCTCGGAAGTGAAGTAGTAGAGGATGGATCAGTCCCCTTCGACGACTGTCGAGCTATCGCGATGACAGTGCGGCGCGCGATCCTAATAGTAGAAGTGAGCGAAGCTGTTGCAGGTGTTGCGCGAACGTACCGAGCCTCAGCTATGCGTTTGTGGGTGCGGAGGCGGTGCGCCGGTGATCTCGGTCCAGCGCATTTCGAAGAAACTGCGCATCCCGTGGCCGGCCTTGCCCACAGGACTGTCGTCTTCGTTGAATACCTCGCAGTTGATGAACATCTGCCTGACATCGGCGCAAAACTCATCGCGAGACTTGTACCTGCATCGAGAAGCACTCGTTGTGAAAAACTTCAGCCTTCCAATGTCGACCAAGGTTGACGATCGGATTAGGGAGTTTTTTTTTTGCGATCAGTCTGTATGTGTGTATTAGATCTACTAGGCCTGTCTTAAAGACCAAGAGATTTTGAGAGGAAAGGCAGCTAAAGATAGTATGTTCACTTAACTAATCGCTGGCGCGTATTGGGCAACTTACGCGGAGTCCTGCAACTTCTTCTTAATCGTACTGAGATCCATGGGGGTTTTTATGATTTTCTTGTAGGTCGGGAACTGTTTGGTGTTCACCGGCAGGAGGAACGGCCAGGCCTCGTCCTGCTGCTCCAACTGTTCGAGGAGTATCTTACAAGGCGCCAGCTCTCGTTGTTGCTTCTTCGTGAGCGTCCGATTGTTACCCTCCTTCCGTGGTGAGGCGGTAGGAGTTGGCGGTTCCGATGAACTGACATCCTCTACGTGCGTGTTCGATGCCGTTGATGGCGTTGGACTGCGGCGCAAAACAACAGAGAAATTATTTGCACGATTAGCTTCCGTTCTGCAGGAGGTTTCCCGTCATAAAAGCCTCTGGACGAATGCGCAAGGACGAATTGCATAAGATTCAATCGTGTGTCCGGCTGAGACGGGTACGCTGCTCCCGATGAATTATTTGCGTTCTCTCTGACTCTCTGTCTCTCGTTCGCCCTTTATTACTTTTTCCGTTCTATTTTTCGCCCTCTTTCGCTCTCTCTTTTTTTTCCGACTCATCCTATACGACTTGAAGGCGGCTCTACTGTTACGACGAATTTTTTCTGAGAAAATACCTATCCCACAGTCGGTGATCGCAAGTACACTAGGCAACAACGATGTATCATGAATGTACAGGGTGTCCTGACGGAGAAACTTGAGATAACTGAAGACAAGACACTGAAGGAACGGAAACCACTCGAAAAAAATCTATCAGTGACAACCGCCTTCAAAGAACGAAAAATTGAACTTAGCTTCTCATAGAACACCCTGCATGAAAGGAAAAATTCTTCGAGACGACAAAAAATTCTCGGCAGTATTGCGACACGGGCCGAGGATTATAAGTCGGTATAATCGCATGAGTACAGTGTATACAGATAGTTTTCGTATACAGTTAGATTCGTTTTGAGATTACTTTATTCAATCGGGAATAATACTTGTCTGCCATTTGTGGTTGCGTTGAATATTATCAAATCATTTGTTATATCTGTTCTCTAATATACTTCGCATGAAATGTCATTAAGCCAGCAACTTGACAATGTTTGTTTGTTTTTAACGTAATCACCTAGCTGGTGGATGATCAGAACTTTCACTTTCTCTGGTGCCTCCCCCTTTGGTATGACTCCTTCGACTACTATTTCTCTTCTTTGGTTGTTTACTGTGGCAATTAGAGCAATACCATTTCCCTCGTGGCATCTGTAAGCAGATTGTGTTGTATACAATAATATCTATACTTGTGGGATGTTTGATTTGTTAACTAATGGGATCTTTAATTATTTCCGCAGAAATACATTTTGATAATTACTCACTTTTGGCATGACAGGATTATGGCAGTCAGTGTGATAAGCCCTAGGACAGAGTTCGCATAGGACCAGATTTTTACCCGCTCTCTTCCCGCACACTAAACAATTACGTTCGCCTGTTGCTTTATTCATACATTCGTGACAATACCTGAAAACAATAAATATAAAAGATAAGATAAAAGTTCATAGTTTTTTTGTAGATTTGAGATAGAATCAAGAAACAAAAATGTAATAGATAAAAGCATTACTCACCAATCACCATCAGGAATGTTTTCCATTTTTGGACGGAAACAATAAGTATGGTAGCCACGGTCACAGCCATCACAGAGCAGCAACTTATCTTCGTTGTCGCCGCTATGACAAAACTGGCAATTCTGCAACCAAAATGATCTCTCCGTTTAAAAGAGAACATAAGAGTTAGTCTTTCATTGTGACTAAAATAGCATGAAAATTATAGCACTTGTTAGTTGAGCATCTTCTAACTTTTTTTTTAAAGCAACAACAAAGCTTTATATAAACAATTTATATGTGTGTAATTAATAAAGCGTATGATAAAAACATATTTAAAAATGACGCAAAAATAAAAGCTAAGTTAATAATGTTAAAAATAATATCTATGCTTATAAAATAATTTAATTAAAAATAATAAAATATGAAGTAATGAATTAATGAAAAATAATGAAGTAAATAAATGTTCATAAACTAACATAAATGTTCATAAAATATAACATAAATAAATAAATATTGAAAATATCTTTGCGTTTCAGCCATCACAAAATAAAATATGCTGTTTGCATGATAATAAACATTAAATTCGTGCAATAATATAAATGCAAGTCGCAGTAAATCAATCATATAATAATAAATGCGACGGAATTTTTCGGGATGCACTAGGATGTAAAAAAGCAGACTAAAGCTATGCAAACGTAAAAGTTAAAAACAAGAGTATTAAATAATAAATAAAAAAAAACGAACATATAGTAAGCGGCAGTTTTGCATGCAACCGTTACGTTAGACTCTGACCACCATTGATTGTACATTCTTAATGCACATTTCGCAATTTTTGTTAACATAATTTTTGTAGATATTATATTCAATTTATGAATGATTTGTTGATGGATGTGCGTTTAATTAAACGTATCAAATGCATTCACATGAATGGAGACGAATGAAACAAGTGTGTCCAGGTATCGCGCGAACAGAGCGAAATTCAACGGATGTATGCAAATTCCATTGCCATATTCTTCGCACACATGGTAATATATATTAGAATTTTGGAATGAGACTGGAAGCGGACGCATTATAAGAATACTGTACGCGTGAGAAACATATCGTTTAGGCTCGGTCATTGGATCGAGTAAACACCTGTCGATATGCATTCGCGACGACGTACGCTCTCTGTGAGCTACTGAATGGAAGGGACAAAGGTGCCGGGAGTAGGAATAGCAAAGGACAATTCGGTTAGTAAGTTAGTGCGAATACCCACAGAGGTCTGAGAAGTAGTCAATAGCTGTTTGTACTGATTGGTAGCTTTGAGTGAGACGCAGCGGTTTCGTAGCTTGGCGCAGACCGAGTTTCTAGCTGTTGTTAGACTCACAGCCTTCATGATGCTCTTGTCCCAAGCGATGCTGGCCTCGAGCATGTAGAGCGCCATAGCGAGTTGCGCCGACGTATGCGCTCGCGCTGTCGCCTCTCGCCAAGTATTGAGACCTCGAGGCGTTGTTTCCTCTGGCGGTGCAGGCGCCTGGTTATTCTGCTCGGAATTATTCGAATTTGCATTAGCGGCCGCCGCCTGTTCTGCCTTCAGGGCTGCTAAGTTGGGATCTCCCGTGCTATAAAATTATCAACATAACAATCAATTAAAATATAATTAAATTATAGAATTTTTTGCTTAACAAGAAAATTTAATTAAATTAAAATTTTAATTGAATACTGAACTTTGACAAGACAAATTTAATTGATTAAATTTTTTTAGAATACTCATTTATATTCCTTCTAATAATTATCTTTGTAAATTTTGCAAAATCATATAATTTTATTACAATTTTATTACTATTAAATCTTAGAATGACGCGTGTATACAAATGATTGATCTATGAGCAACAGGTCTTAAATTTTCGAAATCTCATATTTATCTCACTTTAAATAAATAGAATTAAAGAATAAATTTTGAATGAAGAAATATTTATAGTAATTCTCATTATTGCAGTACAAGATAATGCGTTACGTGAACAATAAATTAATGATACTATAGATGTAAAAAAACTATGAGATATTGTTATACAATAAAATATATACAATAAAAAGTGAGATAATTAAAAGTTTATTTTTCTTACCAAACACCTAGAGGTGGTTTCAGATATCTCCTTTCTATAGCCGCCTCCAAAGAAAGTAACCTTTGCCGTGCTTGCTCGACGGCGCTGATCTTTTCCATTTCATTCAACTTCTCAATTTCCTCGGCTTCCTCGGTTCCCGCTCGCGGTGGTAGTTTCCAGCCTTTAACTTGCATACTAGCGTTAGCCACTTTATCTTCAAGCGCTTCCACTTGTTCTAAGAGTTGGGCATCTACTCGTAGCGCTACTTGCTCGCTCCAGTCGCTCGGATTATCAGGCTTCGGAATTGGCGTATCAGGATGGTCTGCTTCCGCTTGAAGTTCCGTGGCAGTAATGTTGCCGGCATCAACATTAATTCTACCGGTTACGGCTAGGAAGGACTCCATCGTTGCCCACGTCGTACGCTTCAATTCTTTCTCACGGACGCCACGAGAATGTAAATGTTCAAGGAGTTCTTGGAACGTGTCGACGTCGGTTATCCTCCACCAACCATATCTCAAATCTGCGTAAAGTTATGTAATTAAAAAATCAGAAAACAGTCATTGGACGCGTATTTTTATTTTAATATTCGTAAATTAACTTACCTTTCGATACTGGTTTAGCTTCACCAGGAGGCGGTAAACCGTGCACTTTCAAATATTCTAATTGCGCTGCCTCATCTTGAGTTAATATCAGAGGCGCTGGACTGTCGCATCTATCGTAACTCGGACTAGCTGGCGGTGGAAACACAGGGATTCTAAGCTCGGTGGGCTCGGCTATGCCAAAGATTTGCTTAGTGCTAGGTCCCGGAGTATCGCACGTTTCTCGCGGTAAGATGGAAAACCAATTAGGTTCGGCATTACTATTGTCTGAAATAATCGACATAACTAATATTAATTGAAAATATTGAAGAGTCTATTCCAGGTAAGGATTTATAGAAACTCACTAGAAATAAAGGAGCCGTTGAGTTCCTTTCCATTGTGTAGGTTATTGACGTGGTTGTACTTGTCGCCATTCGGTATCGTCTCGACGATTTTATCCTCCATCGTTTTCACTATAGGTTTCATCATATCATCCATCTCCGCATTCTCTTTCTTCACTTCCTCTGCCTTCATGTTGACACATGCATTGATCACCTCCGTTTCTTGTTTTATTTCTTCGGATGTAACATTCGTTTTTGCATCTGTCATTGTACTATCAACGTCGTTGTTTTTCTTCTCTTCCTTTATACTCTCGGAATTTTCCGAACCACAATTTTGTATAGGCTCCTTCTTACAATTGATTTCTTCCTTCTCAGATTTCACTTTATCACCGTGAGATTTTATATCCTCATCTTGTTCGCTCAAATTACGTTTCTTTTCATCCTTAACTTCATTGGGTGCTTCATTTTCGCGATTTTCGGAATTCGTTTTGCTTTCACCCTCTTGCTTCACTTCAGACTTCTCCTCCACTGGCATGTTTTCGTACTTCTCGTCGAGCTCGGCTTGAAGTTCGAGAATCTCTGGTTCGGCACTCTCCATAGCTTCTACGAAAATACCACCGGCACATGCTAATTCCCAATATCTTCTCCAATATCTGTCCTGGCCGAATATGTGCGCACGGAGTTGTTTTGAGGAACTATTCAGCTTTTGTAGTTGTTCCTCTGATTGTTTCAATAGTTTATCCAATTTTTTACCCAACTCTTCGCCAGACAAATTTTTATCCTCCTCCTAAACAAGAATTTTTCTTTAGATAGTATCAATAAAGCTTCAAATTAACTTAAAAGTAAATCAAGAATCGATCTTTAAGACATACCTCTTCTGGCTGAGTGCCTTCGCTCTCGTTTTCAGACATGTCTTCCACTTCGTCCTCATGATGAATCTCATCTGGCGTAGGTGTTGTACCGACAGCAGTAGACGTAGTATTGCCTTCTTCTTCACCCTCCTTCTTCTCAATGGTGATTGTGTCGCCAATCTTGTTCACGATAACACCCACAGCTTCCATTCGGATTTTTCGACTATGTAATTGTCTAAGCCTGTAAAAACAACAGAAGATATTATCAAAACAGATCTGAAAAGGCATTTATTTGCATAATAATAATCATGCATTTATCGGCATAATTTAATCTGTAATATCCCTAATTAATTTAATTTAGCCACTCTCGATATATCTTTAATAAAAAGATAATTTATATGACAATTTTTACATTATTACTCCATTAATAATTTCTTCGTATTATGCAACTTACTTTCTAATCTTCGTATCCAACACGAATCTCTCCTTCCTCAACTGTGCTACTGTCTCGAGGCTACCCTCTATCTGTCTGATCACAGCCTTATTTTGCAGCAGCTCATTGCAGAGAAAAGCGAGCATCTGCGCCTTATGTGTTGGATTCAACGCTAGGAAAGGCTTGTCTCGCAATCTTTCCGACATCTTCCATGTTTCGTTGTTATGTAAGTGCTCATAGAATTGCGCATTTTTTCCTGAGCAGGTTGAAGCGTAATCGCCGCCGTTCTGATGATGATCGGCAAATTTCTTGTCGCGCTCACGCTCAAGGCACACTCCTGTCAGAGCCTTTACTTCGCCGGTCGCATTCGCGTACAAGTAAATTCGCAATACTTCACTGATGTTGGCGTGAGTGATATCAGCCTGGCGCAAACTTTGACCCAAGCCCGTAGTATGTCTAGCCGGTTGCGGGATTCCTGGATCTTCAATGGCGCATACTAGCAGATGCGTCATAACCGACAGCATCTCCTCCTCGGCTTCCTCATCGTTAAGAAGGGCGAGTTGAAGACTCTTTAAACTTGGTAACGATTCCATATCTGCAACAACATGTAGAGAACAATGACGCTTAGTTTCGAATGAAACGATAAATCGTTTTTATCTTTTACAAATGTAAAATAAAATGTCCTTACCGAATCCTAAAGTTTCTCCAAAATTATGCAGAAATTCAAAGACCATGACAATATCCGCAAATGCTTGCCCGGAGAGCTTAAGTCCAGGTATTCTTTTGATTTCTGGCAGTGGTCTGTGATCTGAAAGATTAGACACAATTAGTTAAAAGTCATTAATCCAAAATTCTCGTTAATCAGAAATGCGCAAACTTAGCATCCAAGTTCACTACGTGATATAAGTAAGGATGATGTTCTCATCGCGTGGTATCAGTCACTCTTTTGTTCTCATACCTGTCAGCTCCATATCTTCCACGGGCTTGCGGATTTGTTCGACCAACTCCAACTCGACTCTCCTCTGTTCCGCCCGCTTTTCCTTCGTCGCTATCCTTTCGGCCCTGGCCTCCAGGCGTTTCTTCTCCTTCTCTTCCATCTTTCGGCGGTTCTCCAGCGCTCGTACCAGAGTCATGTGCTGCCTTCTTCTCTCTCTCTCCTATGATCATTGTTCATCGTTATACTAACACATAGCGAAACTAATTGGCACGTTCATGCAGATAATCAAGACAAAATTACAAATGTAGTGTATATAAAGTCTTCGTCGTATATTGGCAAAAAGCGCTATATGTGTGCGTATGCGCGCGAGCGAACGCGCGCGTATGTACGTGTGAGTATATGTATGAAGTGGAAAATCATATAAGAAATTATTGTTTTTTATAAATACTAATAATGTTCTTAAGAGATCTCGGAAAAATAGACTTAAAATTTTATAAAAATATATAAGTTTATATATTTTTTCAAAAAGTATTCTTTGAATGATGAATTTATAAATTATTATTTAAAATTCGAATGTTTAAAAAAATAAATATTTTAATCATTATTCAAATTATTTAAACTTACATATACGATCTTTCATGATCTTCCACTCTGTATTTGTGTCACGCAACGGACAACGGACCAAATCCTACTCTACCGTCCCAAATACTCTTCCACGCATTGCATATTACGAACAATAGTATTTAAACGGATGCACTGATAGTCATTTCTAGTTCATAGAAGAGCAATCCGGCGCGTGATAGTGAAAAACCGCCTTTTTACAGTTACAGAGTGCGCAGAAAACCGTGCAGTTTCTAGCAAATCAACTCTAGAGGCCCGAGCTACCCGAAATACCTCCTTCAATCGGATCAGTTCAGTAAAGTGTTGTTAAAAATTTCAAGAGAGAAGTTTCCACCGGATACGTTATCGTTATGGCAAAACGAACGAGAAATTTCCGATTTCCCTGGCACTGAATTCAGAAATGCGAACGTGTGCTTTCCCCCCCCCCCCCACAGAATGTAAGCTTATGAATCGCGATGATTTGTGAAAGCTGAAGCGGGTACGGAATTAACTAAGCAGACTTATTGCGTTACGGACAAAGATACGGTATATGGTGAAGTGCTGTGAATGATAATCGTAAATCGCGATACGTATTCGTACAAGCCGTGATGACGTTAGATCTCGTTGACGCTCGTCAAATCTAATGGGAATGTAACGCATAAGTCGTTGGTGCGCACGCCGCAGTTTACGATGTTAACGCAGAGCCGATGGCAATCGGAGTGCGAGAGTTAGTTGCGAGAGCAAGTCACTAATTCGTTAATGCCGTTCTGTTAGACGCTAGATTGGGTATGTGACATACCAGCTCGACGGTGTAGAGCATCTCGCGCTGCTTGGTGAGTTCCTGCATGTACATCTGCGGCACAAAACACAGTCCACAGTCCACTAGTGCTCAAATCGTCACATTCAATCTAACAATCTTTCCCTCGCTCTCTACATGTAGAGACGTTCTCTACTTATCGGCTGTCTGCCAAGAAGTTAAATCGCGTCGTAAAATCGGCAGCGCGATCGACTTCACCTTTTCGCGACGGGATCGTTTTTGAGCGATGCCCGGCAATGTTATGTGTTATCGATTGATCTTCCTCTTGTTCGCCCCCGATTTCAAAGTAAAGCGAGCACGCTAAATTGATCGTGGGATTGTCTCATCTTCATCCCGAAATCAAAATTTTACTCTCGTTCTCGTTTCTCAAATAAAATGGAATCGTTGAGAGAGATTTCTTTTAGCAAGAAATCGTCATATGTAAAAATTTTGCAATTTTGCAATGAAATATAAAATTGCTTATTATATATAATAACAGTTAGTAATGAAATTCTTAACAATTTCATAGTTTTATTAGAATTTACTGAAAATTAATAAAGATTGAAATTTTATCTGTTCAAAGAGTTTAATTTGCAAACACCCTTTAATTTTCAATTTATATATTCCAATATTCAGGTTTCCGTGGAAATTTTTGCTAAAAAAAGATATTACTCGAAATTCGTCAGAGATAATTCGTCGCTGAAACTCATTGCGATGAAGATTGGACATTCCGTGTGTGATATGCAATTAATTACACTTGCCCGAAAATGATATATTAATCGCATCAGCTAATTTCATTTTTTTTCACGTCGATGAATATTGGTAATATAAATAATGAATTAGAGCTGCGAGTCCGAAACACAGAATGTTAGATTTTTTTTTAAAGTGAATATTCTACAACATAAATCGGATTATTAATCACCGAAGAAAAAATAAGGTAGCATCGATATTCTTCATATATAAATATTTAAATGTGCATTTGTTATATACAATTATAGCATAATTTCTTTAATATAGTTTCTATTCGTTACATTAAACATTAATAACACATATCATTTTCCTGCTCCCAAAATAAAACCAAATACCTCAGAACAATGATACAAATAAATGTTAACGTATGCTATATCATTTTTCAAAAAGATCTAAAATAATATGCATTTTCTACGATATAAAAAGCTTGAATATTAAATGAATGTGTGACATTAAAAGAAGTTTTATCTTTAAAAGAACAATGTAATTTCTTATTTTAGCATATTAGATATTTTTAATTTACTTTCCGGCTATATTAATATCCGTATATCAAATTAAACAGGAAGTAAATCCTTCGCAAAAATCTCTACAAATCTTTACTCTATCGAAATTTAAAATCAACCGTTCGATTGAAACATTCCTACGGAAAAATGCATGCAGATTACACGAAGAGATTTTCACTACTAGATATTCACTACAAACACACCGTTTTCTAAGACACGATAATTAGCAAATTCCGCAATGATAATTCGGTAAAATATTCCCGTTTACAATTTTTAAAGAAATTACTTTGTACATACGCTCCTGCGCAAACAGAGCTTCCTGCCTTCCGGCTCTTTTCATCCCTATATGTAGGATCACCTCGCTCGGAATACGATCTCATCGTAAAAATAAACCGGGGAACAATGAACGAAGACGATAAAAGTAAAACAGAGCACCTCTACATCTACGAGAGACACACTCACGCACACTCACGCTAATCTACAGCGACGAGACGATCGGCCGGAGAACGGTACGGCATACGTTTTAAGTTCGAGAAACTCACCTGCTCTTTCAGCATGACC